TAAGGGTGTTGTGAACTGGAAAATGTATACTTCCTTCCCCCTACCCCCTGCCATTTTTATTTGTAGAGATGAGGTCTCACTACATTGCTTAGGCTGGTCTCCAACTCCTGGCCTCAAGCAATCCTCCTGCTTCAGCCTCCCAAGTGCTGGGATTACAAGTGTGAGCCACCATGCCTTGCCCCTAAACCTTTCTTACAATGGTCTTTCCTTGCTGGTTTTCAGTGAATATTCTCAGTACCTTGGGGTTGTCACCACCAATCATCCTCCTGGTCTCTTACAGCAAAGTCAGTAACTAGCCTCAGAGCTAATGGGTTGGAATGGAAAGGGCTGCTGCCAGAGTGGGAGATGATACTTAGAAGCCACCCATTGGAAGGGGCAGGGGAGGAACAGGACAAAAAGGTGGACTGAAATGAAGGGTTAATGTGTCCATGACTGATCCCTACCAGTATAGCCCACCAGAAAAGAGACTGGGCTCCTGCAAGGCTCTGTAGAAACCAGCTAATTAACTAATGCTTAAGTCCATTAATTTGGTCAAAAGCAAGGCTACTTCCTAAACCACTGATGGGAAGGGGAGAGAGGAAAGTGCTAGAGCTTCCTCAACTATTGAATGCTGATGTGATAGACACCACTGCTAGTTTGCGTGCTTCCTGCCCCCACCAATAAAGCTGCAGCTGCAAGGTGTGGACCCGAGTCCCCTCATCATGCCAGGGCAGGGGCTGGTGCTGACCCAGCAGGACAGGGTTGAAATGAAGGCCCTGACTCATCATCTTGCTATTGTGCCCCAGCCTCAGATCACACCAAGGGAAGAGCTGGTGCATCCCTAATTCACGTCTTTTAAAAAGTCTCCTTTCTCCCCGGAGTCTGCCTTCTGACCCTGCTAGACCTCTGTGTGCTGCTCTGGAATGACTTGGCTCATCTCCTATTGATGCAGGGTCTGTGAGCTTTCTCCAAAGCTCCACAGATGAGGAGTGAATGCTACTTGCCCTTCTGTCCTGTTTGCATGATAAGATCCTTACAAATAAGGTCACGATTCTAAAAGAGGATAGAGCCACTGATTTGCTCCAAGTGTTTGCCAGTCCATGACTACTTGACTGCTCCATGCCTGCTACCCCAGCTATAGGTCTGAAGAATGAGACTGCCAGCCCTTGAGCCAAAGAGAACCAGGCTATGTTGTATATTAGGGTCTCGTTTTTACCAGCAGTGAGAACTTGATCCTGTCTGCTTGCTTGACTCTGACCAGGGAGTTGTGGGAGAGGCTCTGGTTATGTTTCAGCCAGTGGGCTGAACATTTTACCCCTAACTACAACCAAGTGCCCAGTCTCCGGGAGTATGACTTCTGCTCATGTTCCTAATTTGCTCTTTAGTTCCTAAAGGATGGTGGAGCCCTGCCCTGGACTACGGCCTGCTTGTTTGGGCCCTGACAACCTGCCTGTTGCCATCTGCCACCTCATGTCCTATTTTAACCTGAACGGAGGCACCCCTGGAATCAAGATGCTGCCACCTTGCTGTTGCTGTGGGGCCTCCATTGCTTGTCTGGACCAATCAGATCAGATGCGTGGAAGCTACACCACTGTCATCACTTCAGGAACCCTACAACCAGGTGAGTAGTACTCCACTCTATCATATTCATGATACTGCTCCACTTTTCTCTTGAAAATTCTATCTCAGATTACAAAAGCTTCACAGATAATTTTGCCATCACTAGGTACATCAAACAGTCACGGTCAATATCTAGAATTTTCATCAACACGGACTCAGTTGTTTCATCCTTCAGATAATAAAAGGATGGTTTTAGGGCCTATGAACTGCACAAGAGCAGGGAAAAATATTTTAGATCTGACAAAAAGTGGTTTCAAAACAAGATAGTACACACTGATTTAAAAATATTTCAACAGAAGTCATCTTCAACATTTTTCACGGCTGGGTGCAGTGGAGCACAACTGTAGTCCCAGCTATTTGGGAGGCTGAAGCAGGAGGATCACTTGAGGATAGGAGTTTGAGACCAGGCTAGAAGACAACATAGTGAGACCCTGTCTCTAAAATATATATTTTTTAATTTTCATAGCTAAAATCTTCTATTTATTATGAAATATGGGTGTATTTTATCCTGCTATAAGGTGCAGCATCTAAATGTGAGCAAGCCAAGTACCTGAGAATGTTATCTCATGGCAGCCCTGGCATGATCACATTTCCAGAACTCATCCTTGCCCTCAGTGGCTGTGTGGATGCCTAAAATGATAGGGGCGACCTTGGTACCATGGGTACTAGCCGCAGGGCTAGCAGGCACTCTGATATTTGTTGAATGAGTGGATGAATAGATGAATGAATAAATAATTAAGCAATGCACAAATCCTCTAATGAAGATTTAGAGATTTAGAGATTTTTAAAAATCAGAAGGGGAAGGAATTGAGGAGTTGTTTAATGGGTACAGAGTTCTACTTGAGCAAGGTGTAGAAGTTCTGGAGATTGGTTGTTCAACAATGTGAATACACTTAACACTACTAAACAGTATACTTAGAAATGGTTAAGATGGTTAAGTTTTACGTTATGTTTTTATGTTTTTAACTGCAACAAAAAATTTTAAAAATCAAACCAAATTTTAAAAAATCAGAGATAAGACAAACAGGAAAATTTAGCATACACCTATGACAGCTACCTGAATCTCACTGCAGTTACTCTTCAGTTTTCCTCAGTGTAGCCCTGACTTCTTTAGTACTATTTTCATATATTATTTATTATTTGTTCTGTGACTCCTTTTTGGAGGCCAGTAATTGACAGTCCAATTATTTGATTTGGTTTTGCAAATAGGCTAATAAGTTGTTTTAACAAACAACTTCTCCAATTATAGTAAGTCATATATCTCTTCAGTGCATAATTTTATAATCCCCACACTCAGAAATAACATTGTTAACATGTTGGTATATGGTATATATATATAATATAATTACATTTTACATTATGTTTTATGTCTTATTTTTCTACTTAATGAGCCATGAATATTTTCCCAAGTCAATACATGTTTGGGGTTTCCTATATAAATTAGAATAAAATCCAAAGTCCTCACCTTGGCCTACAAGCCCCAGTGTGATCTCTCCCAAGCATCCCTGTCTAACTTCTTCCATTTCCCACTTCCCACTTATTCACTGAGCTCCAGGCACATGGGCCTTCTTGCTGGTCCTTGGGCATTGCCTCAGGGCCTTTGCACTTACTGCATTCTCCTTCTGGAACTCCTTTCTTCAGATTTTCACCAAGCTCACTCCCTCATTTCATTCACGTCTGGCCTTCTTCTAACAGGTGAGCAACTTATGCAAAGTAGTACCCACTGTCAATCCCCTTGCTCTGCTTTATTATTTGTCACAGCACTTACCACTGTTTCCTACTCTATTATGTAGTTATTCATTGTCAAGGCCTATTTTCCCCAGAAGAATATAAGTTCCACAAGGGCAGGGGCTTTGTCTTGTTCACCGTTTTATTCCCTGACATTAGGTTCTAAATTGGTGTTTGTTGAGTGAATGAATGAATTTTGCTCTAATCTGTATTTCATGACTGCATATAACTCTTTTGCACAGATGTTTCTTAATATATTTAAATATATTTAATATGTTTAGCTAATCTTCTGTACTGGGATATTATAAATTGTGCTGCAATGAAATACTTAAATATGTTCTCTTAAATACTTTAATTATTTCTTCCAAGTTAAATTAAGTGTAGCAGCTTCCTAGCCACACCCTCTTCCTCTTTTCCCTCCACCCACAGTATACACCACAGACTTAAAGTCCAAACTCAGAATGCTGGTGTGTCCCTATTTTACCTCACTACTGTGATCTCCCGTGGCTGTTCAGAAAAGTACTTGGCCCAGGTTGTCCTTCCTATCAGTTCTTGTCATCATGTTTTGACATGTTACCTCTCACAGAATGTACTCCCATTTCTTTGCCTAAAATCCACCCGTCTTCCAAGTCCCTCACTCATCCCTCTTGATTCCATCATGCTGTCCTCCAATCTAGTCTGCACAACCTCTCACCGCTCTTGAGTTTTTCTGGCACTGCCTGTGTGTGTCATCGTTCCTGACCCTGTTCTGTTCCTACCATGCTTCAGTTACAATCACACTAACTGCAACTTCCTAAAGCATAAAAACTTGTTTTTTCGCTTTTATTTTTCAAAGTCCTGTGCAGTCCTTCTAGCCACAAAATAATAAATGTTTTTAAATATAACTGTTTACCCAAGTCAAAACGTTTATGGAAAACGAGATAGTTTTTTAAGGGGAAAAAATCATTATTCATGATAAGATATTTTTATTGTCCCTATATTTTCTTTGCATATTCTCTACACACTATCCTGCCATCAAGAATTTTAATGCTTAAATTCCTATTTGCAATCCTTGCTCAACCACCATACAAAAGCTTATTTCTGACAATTTTGTTGTTGTTTTAGACTTTGGCTTGTCTTAAGATAACATTATTAAGTATACTTAAAAGAGCATTTCCTTCAGAGATTGTTACAAAATCACCATGCAGTGGTATCTGAGTTATACAGATTTTTTTTTGTTTGTTTTCATATAACGTATATAGGGCACTAGGAAAAATCACAAAGTGTACCTTTCCTTTTGTCCAAACATTTTCATACATGAGAAATCAACTTAATATGAACAAAGAGGGCTGTCATGAAAGAAAAAAAAAAAATTCAAAACAGTGCAGCCTGGGGCCTGAGGGAGGTGTGTGCAGAGGTGGGGGGGGATGCTTTCTTTCCCTAGGACGCTGCTGGGAACTCCAGGCTGAGCGGCTGGGCAGGAGCTTGAGCAAGGAATTCTGCAAGAATTATTCTGCAGGAAATACTGAAGCTGGGTCCCGCAAGTCGCATGCCTTGGCTTTTTGATCTCAATAATTTACATTATTATGCTGAGATCTCAGGTCTTTTTCTCCATCCCCACGTGCTTTCTGGTCGCCTGATCTCGGAATCCTCCCAGGCACACCCAGGGCAGCCCCGCAAAAACGCCCACTCACCATCTTCCTCGTGGAGGAGGCCCATGTTCCCATGCGCCTCTGCTTCTCTCTTCCCACCGTCAATTTTGATCAGTTGAGCGATGCCAAAACATCGTTCGTAGAAGTGGTTCCTTACCCACTTGTCTTCAGAATTATTGAAGTAACAGGCCAGAGCATACAAGTTTTGATATACATCTTCAAAGTATCCTTCAAAGAGAGAAAAACATAAACAGCAATATACAGATGTCTCATGGCAATCCCTTTGGATGGCAAACCAATATCATGACATTTTTTTCCTGTTTTTCCTTTAAAGTGTGATTAACTATTTTAAAAATCAAATCTAAATGCAAAGCTTATCTATTTTAACTATTAGAATAATGACATTAATTAAAGAATGTGCAGATGAATAAAGCAACAAAAGTCTTTCAGAAAACTTAGGACAGGTGAGAAATTGACATACTGTTTGGGTTGAAATAGGAGACTTTTTATAAGAAATGGAACAGGATAATGCCTACCCAGCAATGTGCTCGGTTATTTTGGAAGAAAGGAGTATGTGGTGTCATCGAATACTTTTCCCATTAGAGGTTTAAAAAAGTATTTAGAGATTCCAGAGAAAGCAATGTTTCTTAAATGTGGCAAATGAGAATGTAAATGAAGAAAGGAGAAAGGATATGGAAATATCAAGGTATTTTCACACCAAAGGGGAAAAAGTCATGGGGCTGATATAAGAAATGATTATCAGTATAACCGTATAAGCTCCATACTCTTTCTAACAATGTTTCTAGCAATGTGAAAAAAGAATAGATGTCTATGTTTCTGTTTTCTATGAGTATTTTTTTCTGCTGAAAATGCATAAATAGTAGTCATTCCTTTTACTCACATAATTGTTAATTACTTAAAGTTTTGTAGGTCTTTTATTTCCTAAAGACACTTAACCTATATGTTATAAATACACAAGAAAGTGTGTTAATAAATTGTGAATCAATCTTTTAAACCCCACTGCAATAGTAAACTTGAAGAAAGATGTTCCTGTGTTAATAAACTGTGCCTCAGCCCTGTAAGCTTCACTCTTCTAATGGTGAATACGAGGAAATTCATAATCTTTATGTCTTTTTGCATTTATCCTGAAAGAACAGTTGTAAATACGTGATGGCCTCTGGGTTACAGTTCCAGGAGTTTTTAAATTTTTTAATAATGATCATTATCAGCTGGGTGCAGTGGCCTGTCATCCTAGCACCCTGGGGGAGGCTGAGATGGGAGAATCACTTGAACTCAGGAGTTCAAGACCAGCTTGAGCAAGAGCAAGACACCATCTCTACAAAATACAGAAAAATGAGCCGGCATCAAGGCGCATGCCTGTACGCCCAGTTACTCAGGAGATTGAGGCAGGAGGATCTGTTGAGCCCAGGAGTTTGCGGTTGCAGTGAGCTATGATGACGCTAGCACACTCTACCTGGGGCGACAGAGTAAGACTCTGTCACCAAAAAAAAAAAAAAAAAAGAATCATTATCTATTAGAATTCACTATTACTAATTGTTCACTACTGCCAGAAGAATCCACCCATATATTCATGAAAGGATTATCATTATGAAAAATATTTCCACTAGTACACCTATAAGATTAAAATAAAAAAGGCTCACAACAGGTCGATTACAAAAAAGGTAGCTTTTAAGAACTACAAATCAATCACTCCAATGTTTCAAAAGAAATTTCTAAAACCTATGCTCTTCCTTTATATGTGTTTCTTCATAATTCCATAAGAAATTAAGATTTATTTCAAAATAAATTTCATACTTGCAAAATGAGGTAACAAAACAAAAAAAGGTCACCCTATCCTTGAAGGAGCTGGGGATCCTGGAGAGCCATTCTGCTTTTTAAGGGCACTCACATGAAGCTTAGATGAAAAGTAGAGAGTAGCCTGAGTTATTTATTTAGAACATATATTCTCACCCCAGAAACCACTTCCGTGCTTTATCTTTCCATTCTCAACCTTCTACCTAATATGAACAGAGCACTAAAGTCTGTTTTGTAATACTTCATATTCTTGATCATATTTACTGATTAGAGAGTTATTGCTTTTAGAAGCCAGTAAGTAAAACATTTCATATCCTCCATTTTAATAAAAGGTATATAGAGAATTTTTTTTAAAAAAATATACAGTCCTGAAATAATTTTTCTAGTTTTCTGTAATTAAACCTTAATATAAAAACATTCCTAATATTTCATAAAGGTTTTTTTTTTTTTAGGAATGAGTTATATAAGCTATCAAGGTTCTATATTTAAAGACTACTTGTCAGCTAAGCCATTTTTCTACAAAAAAATGAAATCTTTTTCAGAATATTAAGTGTAAAGCAATATATTCCAATTTTGAATCTTTGGACAATATGGCCTGTACTCTGTACATTTTGAGCAGTCTTTTCTCCTTCCTTGTAGACTGCTTCCTTGAATTGTCAGTGGGAATATTTGGAAGATGAAAATCAATTTTACTATGGGTTTGTTATTTAGTCCAGCATTCATTATGCTCCTTAAGAAGAAAATTCCATGGCGAAATAAATTTGGGAAATATTTTTGCTAATCTTTCTCTTTCAGTGAACTAAATAATATACATCAACATGTTGAAGGCTCTGATAAGTCCTGCAATAAATCAACCTGCTTAATTTCCATGTTAGTTCACCTGGTTTAGTTTCCCAAACCTATTTCACCAGAATTTTTGTTTTGTTTTGTTTTGTTTTGCATAAAATCTATAAATATCTGTGGAACTTTGCTTGAGAAGAACATATTTTTTATATCTTAAACAAATGTTACTAGGAAAAAAAAAAGTTGCTGCTCAACCTTTGACAATAATTTAAAAGTCAAGTGTAAATAATGTTTGAATTATCTATTGATTCAGTTACCCATTACCATTATTGCCATCTCTTCTCTAGCCCCATGGGATTAAGGCTGTAATCATAATGTTACAGATGGCACAGTAATGATTTACAACGATGGGTAATATAAAAAATGTATCAGGGACAAAGAAACACTTTAATAAATGAAAAATAATCCAAAAAGAAGTAACTGGCTTACTTTAAACACACCTTTGTTATAAAACAGAAAATGATGTTTTGTAAAGTAATTTAAATAACTCTAGGTTACTGGTCTGTACATCTCAAGAGACGCAACTGACCTGAGTTGACTGTTGTTAGTGCCATAGCTTTGATTAAATGAACTTCATTGTGACCCTGGAGTGATGGGCTTTCCAATGAGAAGCAATGAGAATGCTCAGAGATATGCTATTCCAGGATAATTGTCTCCGAGCCCATGACCATATGGGATGGAACCTTGAGACACTATTAACAGATTTCTGTATTCTAGACATATATATACATATTTTAAGATTTAGCATTAATTCAAGTTACTAAGAGCAAAATGTGCATATCCCATTTTCTGGGACATTCATAATTCAAATCACAATCCTTCCCCATTGAAGTTTATATGCTAAATATGAAAAAGATTATATAAATTTTTGAAAAAAGACCTTACAAATGTTTACATGTCCTTCAGCTGAAGTATTAATATTCCCAATAATATTTTTTGCAATAATTTTAATTGCCTATATTTCAACCGGGCAAAAGCCACTAGCATTTTGTAGGAGATAACCCTACAGAAGAGTTATTCTGAGCTAGAGAAAAGTTTGCCCCATTTAACAAATTTGATTTTATTTATCATGAATATATGATAAATTGCTCAGTGAAGAAAATAACTTCTTTTATTACTCTTACCATGTGTGTAAGACACTGACTAGTATAAAGTTGGACTTTGTTAACTTTTGGAATCGGAGAAACATTTTTACTTATACATATGGTAACTTCTATTTAATAGATTATAAATTAAAATGTTTACTACTTTAAATAGACTGTGTAGGTTCTATATAATTAAAAAATTCTTTATGACAAGTTACTCACATTTATGACACTTTATGGTGAATGCTATATTTGGCACATATTTATATTATCTCAAATGAAAGCTTCAATTTAAAACAGTGCATATGATAAAATTCCACTTAAAAAATATCTATTGAGCAAAAATTTACCTTGATTAATTTTACTTTGAGTGTAAATATCACTTTAGAATTGGGGGCTGATACAACAATGTAGGCTTTTACGGTGCCATTTTTTAATTTATAATAGTTAATTTCTTGAAACATTATTTGTAAATCATATTTTAAAGACTATCTTTTAAAGTTAATCCTACACTTAAGTACTTTCCATAATATAAATAACTACCTCCTGTCCCACCTCTTACCCTGTGCCATACACATACACACCCCAGGTTCATTTGTTTTGTTGTTCATATTTTGTCTCATATTTTTAAGTCAGGTCACAACCTAATGGGAACTATGCATTGACCCACTATAGAGACCCCTCTCATGTTGTTTCCATGTCCTTATCAATTTTCTCCATAGTGGCATGAGGTAACAAAAACTTGTTAACACTCTATTTTCTCCTAGAAAAGCCTGAAATGAAATATAGACATTCTCATAGTGGGGTCTGAACTTTTCTTTTTGAGTCCTGTAGTATTTTCACCCAAAAAGTTGGAGAAAAGTATAATTTAGAACACCAAACTTTAGGCATCTCTCCTTTCTTTGATTTTAGATGACAAATTCCTAATATGTAACTAAAAGTTCCTTCTGACAAGAATATCAATATAATTATTGTAGAGAGTAAAACATTTTCTTCAATACATGAAACCTATATTAACTTTCTGGAAAATTTTAGAATATAAGAAAAGAAATTATTTGAAATGATGTTATTGAAAATATACAATGAACAATTTTATTCACAGTTGTAAATTGCAGGCTTTTCATGTCTTTTTACTATTCACTAAGACAAAATCTCCGATTCGAATCGATAGGACGTACTTCTTGATAAAACCTCCAAAGTCAACTACATGAATGCAAGGAAATCAGTGTAATTTTCAAAATACAGTGCTCTTTAAAAGTAGCTCCTCGGTGAAAGTCAATTTTCAGATTACATATAAAGAAAAATTATAAAAATGTTTAAACTTAATGTGACAAAAGATTTTAATCCATTGGAAAGTTCTGGAGATGCTTAGCACCTAATTACATGGTATTAAATGCTGCCTTTTTTATTATTATTATTATTTCAGCATATTATGGGGCTACAATTTTTAAGGTTACGTATAATAGTTAAATGCTATCTTTCCTGGCTTAGAACGACGTCACCAGGACGCCCCAGTGTCTGGGCAGCCTTGCATTTCAGTGTCCCCTATCATTCATTCCGTAAACATGCTTACTTGGTGACCAGGTTGAACTGCGCCAAGTTGTCTTAATGTTCCAAATTCATCCATGAAAACATGTGGAATCTTCCCTCAGGCGCTTGCTGTTCCAGAGCCTGCTATGCGCTGCTCAGGGTCCCGCCACTCACCTTTCCTCTCAGCGTCCTCGGCCCGGGTCAGGTAGTGGTAGAAGTGGTCCAGTTTGTCAGGTTGCTCCTCCAGGGGCTTCTGCAACCACTGCAGGGACCTGATTCTCGCAACCTCCCTCAGGGCATCCCACTGCTCCATCAGAGTGAAGAGCTCGGTGAAGGACTTGTGATAACCGTCCCGCAGCATGTCCACGCAGATGTTCTTCTTGTACGAGTTCCTGTAACTGGGAATGAGAACCAGAGCACTCAAAGCTTTATTTTAATCCTTTCAATCTGCACAGTGTATTCATTGTCTAATAATTAAAGATTGAATCGTGTTGCCTTTTGTTCCTCCGTGAAAGCACTGAAAACTATCAAAAGATCCTTGCCTCGAACGCTTATAATTGAACAACTTCAGTTTAATGAAAGATGCCAGGAGCTATCTAAATACAATAATTTTAATGAAATTACATTATAAACATATTAGTTCCAGATCTGAGCTCCCTTTGTTAAGGACAAATAAGCTAGTTAACGGACAATATCCAAAAATACTGATGCACCGGCCTCCCAAAATCCCCAACAAACCAAGCAAAAATCAAACTTGCCACTTAATATCTAAACGATGTATTCTCTTTATTAGGTACTTTCACTGTATGTCATGGAAATTCATCATTCATTCATTCACGCAGAAAATGTTTGCCATTATCTATAACTAGATATGTTTAAAAAATTATTTTCAGTTAGAATTAATGGTTTGTTAGATTAATAATTCTCTTCTAACTTCAATAATATATCAAATGCAAGGAGATCAAGTGACAGATGAATATTCACTCAACAAATAGCTATTGTGTTTTCTACTAAGTGTCAGGCACTCAGACCAAATAGGTTCAACGCTTTTGTGAAGTTTGCATTCCAATAGGAGAACACCACCAATCAATAAGTAAACAAATGATAAATAATTAGAAATGATGAAAAATTCTATACAGAAAATAAACAGGATTATGGGATAACAGCCATGTGGTGGCTATTATTCTGCTAAAAGAACAATTAGATGCCAAAAGATATAACTTTATATTAATTATGTTATTATTTTTTAAAGGAGACAATTACATATTTAGAACAACCCACATGATGTGATACTACTGGAAATAAAAATTCAGTATGGGGTGGAAACGGCCCAGAATTAGTCAGAACACCTGCAGTTCAGCACAGTTTTACTAATCTCCCTAGACCTCATTTCTTCGCATCTGTAAAATGTATGTATTAATGCAAGCCCTACCTATATCATGAAATTCTTCCAGGAACCAAATGAAAGTACGTATGTTGTGAAAATACCCCGGGAAATGTGAAATCCGGCACTACTGGTTTTCACCTCCTAGCTATGCATCAGATTTACCTGTAGAGTTGAAAAAACAAACAAAAAGCACAACAAAACTAAACTAAAATGCCCAGGCTCCATCTGCCAAGAGTTTCTTATCCAGTCGATCAGCTTAGCTATGGAACAAAACAAAGGGTAGTGAGCAGGAGAGTGGTGAGTGATCAAATTAAAAAAGAAAAAAAAAAGGGCAGGGCCCAGACCATGAAGAGACCTCTTGGTAAAGCAGTGGTGAGAAGTCTGGACTCTAAGCTAGGAGGGAGGTAGAGCCACTGCAGAGTTAGAGTGAGGGAAATGATGAAATGAGACTGCATTTCAGAAAAGTCTCTTGGAAGGAGTGTTCCAGATGAATTGCAACCTTCCCCCATCGGGCAGCCAGACAGTCATAGAACTAGCCCCTAACAAGAATAAAGAAACTACATTCCTAGGTCAAAAGCTCAAAAGCCACCATTCAGTATGAGAAGAAGAAATATTTGAAATGGGGAAAAGGAATAGCAGTGTTTACTTGGCCCTGCCCTGCAACTGAGACAGGGGAGGAGAGTGTGGAGAACAAGGCACCACCATGCTGAGTAGGGCCCTGTCCTCTGTCTCCTCCTCACTCCAGTCAAATGCCAGAGGGGGTCGGGGAGTAGAACAAGAATCAACACCCTGTGAACTCCAGTAGGATCCAAAATTTGTGCCCTGCTTCCCATCTGGGACTCTGGAAGGCAGGAGGATTACCAGCATCTCCCTTCCCACCTCCCCCTATGCGGAGCATGGAAAGGTACAAAAATCACTAGTCAGAAAGGACCAGAACCAGATTGGTAATTTCCCACAGCCCTTGAATGCCATAATATTCCAGTGGGCTCCATGTGCAACCCAAAAGTTACCGGAAAGAGAGAGAGATGATATATGCCTGTCACAATGTCACCTAGCCATAGCAAGGGGACATGTGCTAAAGGCTGTTCATGGGCTGGCTGCCTGCTGGGGCCTGAAGGAAGACACGGCTCTAACTCTGAAATGAGCAGCACTGGGAGCTCCTGGAGGCTTCAGGTCAGCACATTTCCAGAGCTGATAGAATAAAGATGGATCAAGTGCATCAGAGATTCAGTAAGAGAAAACTTGCCTCACAGTGCCTTGAAAGACAGGGAGGTTTCTATTTTTTGCCTAAAGGTAGGAAGCTGAGGGCCTTGCTTCAGTGGCCCGGCAAGTTCAAGGGCTTATCTTGACCTTTCTCCCTGGCTTGTCCCCTGCTGATAGCTACAGGGCTGCTACAGCTCCAGATATCATGTCCACCTTCAAGGAAAGAAGAAAGGGCAAAGTAGGATGGCATTGGTTGTGTCTTGCTCTATTTGGGGTAAAAACAAATACATCCCTGCAACCACTAGTGGATTTCTACTTTCCCACTTGCCAGAACTGTGTCACATACTCTATCCTCCTTACTACAAGGAGTCTGAAAAAACAAACAGCCTTCTTCCTCTTGGGCACATTGCTGCTCCAAACAAAACTAAAGTATGTTGGCAAAGATGAAGTGAATAATGGATACTGGACGGACAAATGCAGTGACAATTATGAGGTACTAGATCAAGAGCTGAAAGTAAATGCTGTTACATGCACCCCTCTGCCCAGGGTTGTCAGATAAAATGCAGGATTCCCAGTTAAATTTGAATGCCAAATAAACAACTAAGGATTGTTAGTATTAGTATGTCCCAAATATAGTATGTCCTATATTTTAATTTGATAAATCTAGTAACAGCCCTCCCGCCACTAGCACGATGCTGTCTCTATATAGGAAAATAGGGTGAGGTGAAGAGGCTTCAAAATCTTGAATAACCTGAGAAATTGCCGAATTGGACTGACTTTACCTGAGAGTGACAAGATTAGATTTTTACACTAGGGAGGATCAAGGCTCAGGGCCAGGAATTAAAATTAAGTTATAAAAAAATAAAGACTTTCAATTTAGCATTCTTGAGTCTGTGACTCTGAAATTCACACCTGATCCAAGAGGAGGGATGGGAGGAGGGCAAACCCAAGGCAGGGAGAACAGATGGGAGACTCTGGTGATCGTGGAGAGGGTGTACCTGGGCTGGGACCTGGGGTAGCAGGGCTGGGGTGGGAATGCATAACAGTGGGTGGATTTAAAACATATTTGGGAGATAAAAAAACAAAACAAAACAATTACCTGGTGACTCAATGGATGTCAGGGGTGAAGAAAATGGAGGAGGTAGGATGACAACCAGGTTTTTGGACTAGGTAGTTGGTAATTTGCTAGAGAGGGCAACACCAGAAAAGGAACAGGTTTGGGGAAAGATAATGAGCTCACTTTCAGATAACTTGAGTTTGAGGAGCCTGAGGGGACATCGAGTGGTACCCCAGAAGGCAGCTGGGAGGGTGGCATTGGAGGCCTGAGAGGACAAGGGGCTGGAAATCCATCCTTGCTTCGAAAGTTGCTTGCCACCTTTGTGTGTTTACGCATTGGCTGTCTGCATGTCTTCCTACGAGTGAAGAGAGCATTCTGGGGCAAAGTCAAGAAAATTATAAATAGATAAAAATGAAAACAGTGACTTTAAACAATAAAAGCAAACATTGGATAGGGCAGGTAGGCGGCCATCTCAGTTCTAATGCCAACTGGGACAGAAATCCAGAAAAATCACTCCCTGGTCATTATTTGTCCGCCAGCATCTAGCTCTACTTCCACAGGGGGTAGCACCCCAAAACACTCTTGGAAATAACCAGTCTCACATTGTGTGTAATCTTTGTGGAATGGGAATTCAAGGACTCTGTAGCTGATGGGTAGGTTATCGGCCCGAATTAGGCCAACTGGTCTCTCTCCAAGGAGTTTGAAACCTTGAGGCAAGCAACACAAGGGGGTAGTAGGTTGCTGAAGTTCAATCAACCTGGCAGCAGTATCTTGACCAGGTTCTCAAGGTGTTCTTGCTACCTAGATCCCTTCCAGGGGCCCGGGTCTTGTTTTTTTCTTCTGAGCCGAGTTCTCCTCTAAATTCCACTAGCTACCTAACATCCTTTCAATACAATCGTTTCCACTTAATTTAATCAGAATCAGTTTCTGCTGCCTGTGACCAAAGAACACTAAGTGATTCAGAAAGGGCTGGACTAAAATTATTTCCAAGATATCTTTCCTCCCCATAAAACCCATGATATATAACTAATATCAATATTTTAAATTTCTAGTAAATTTTTTAAAAAGACCATTCTTTACAGAAGAGATGACAAATAGAAATGTATTTAAATATGCATGTATAACGATGCTGATATCATCTCTATTTTATTCACACACTTGTGTGTGCACATACATGCATGCGAGTATGCCATTGTTTAAAGCCTCATTACTAATATTTGAGAGCAAGAAAGAACAATTACAGTGATTTACTAAATTCCTATTTAAACCTTCATAGGTAATGTGAATTATTTCTTTTTTACCAGAAAATCTTCATTTATTAAAAAGAACTGGCTATCTAAAAATAAAAATATACATCAACCTTTACCATTATATTTAAATTTCTCAGATTGTATGTCTCATAACAGAGGACCATAAGCAAAGTTCACTTGTTTTACGAAAAGAAACATTTTTAAAACACAAAATAGAGATATAGGCAAAACTGAAATTCATTATTTCATTTGGCCATATGATTTTTAGTTTTTGGTTTCATTTGCACATTAAAACATTTGTGAATATTAGTCTAAATTTTAAAATATTGTTTTTAAGCATCAGAAGAAGAAAAATCTTGACCTGAAACCACTACACTGGGTGAAAATTGAGAATTCTGATAAAATTTATGGAGAGAGAGAATATAATGGAATCTGAGGATAGTTTGCCTGACCAAAAAAAAAAAAAAAATTTGTCACTCAGAGGCAAAAGTTGTGACATTT